TGTTGTGCGTGTGTGTGTGTGTGTGTGTGTGTGAGAGAGAGAGAGAGAGAGAGAGAGAGAGAGAGAGAGAGAGAAAGCATCTACAGGCATACCTTGGAGATATCGTGTGTTTGTTTTCAGACCTCTGAAATAAAGCAAATCATAATCTTTTGGCTGGGGGATGGTCTTGCCTTCACTTTGTAAAAATCGCAACATCTGTGCCCTAGCCCATGTGGCTGGGTTGGTTGTGTGTCGTTCTGTGCACTGAAAGGTTGCTGGTTCAATTCCTGGTCATGGCACATGCCCAGGTTGCAGGCTCAATCCCAGGTAGGGGGCATGCAGGAGGCAGCCGATCAATGTTCCACTCTCACATTGATGCTTCTCTCTCTCTCTGCCTTCCCCCAACTCTCTCTCTAGAAAAAAAGTCAATAAACTATTCTTTAAAAAAAATGCAACATCTGTGAAACACAATAAACCAAGGTCTGCCTGTATTAGAAATCACTGGGAAATTACCAGACTTCCTACTCCCTGTTCTATATGCATCTCCATGGAAGGTACTAGTATCCCCAACAAACTGAACCTCAGAAAATCTAGGTCACTTGCCCAAGGACACACGGCTTGCAAGTGACAGATTTAGGTCAGTTGGTCTCCAAAGTCTGTGTTCAGTTAGCCACAGCCGCTCTCAACAGACACCGTTGCCTCCCTGACCTTCTGCCATACAGCTGGATACTGAAAGTCCTGGGATAATTTCAGGGTTCTCACCTGTCAGTGGACATGTTGAATAGGAGCCAGGACTAGGCAGGTGAAGTTCAACCCCCCCCCCCCTACTGCTTGTCACTGTCAGTGTAAGGGAAAGATGATATTGTGTCTGGTACCCTCAGGAAGGGGTGCTTCAGGTACAGACTTTTGGCTGGGATGGGCAGATGGAAGGCAGTCGGGGAATTCCACCCAGCATGGACACCTTCCTTGGGGTGAGGTGCCAGTGAACCCTTTCAAATATGCAAATATCCCCATGGAGGTCCCATCAGGTCCTATTCCTATGCTCACCGGGTTTCCACTTAGGAACTTTAAATGTAAGCGCTCCTAACCTATATAAATTTTTAAAAAATCAGTCTTCACACCTAGGTTTGAACTCAGGGCCAGATATGAGTTCCCTTAGGAAAGTTATAAAACCTTTCTGAGCCTCAGTTTCCTTAACCATAATGACAATAAAAAATAGTAGTGGGTTACTGGTAGAAGAAAGTGACTCAGTGCCCGGATTATTGGTAGAGGAAACTAAAATATTCATATTTAGCAGATGCCTGTAACACATAAAGGTTCGAATATCTCTTCTCCTCATCACTGTGGTTTGCTGCTGTTGCTACTGTTGTTACGAATGTACCTGAGTCACAAAGGTGATAGAAGGAGTGAAAGGCTCAAAGCATAAAAGGGCACAGCATGACGACACACACTATTGTTACTGTTGTTAATATTGAAATATTTGTAATGATCATGTGTCACAATGTGAGCAATGATATTATATTATTGATGATAATATCTATAGTTAGTAGGATTGCTGATAATATACTGTACTAATCAATCAGTTTTGTCATACCAGATCAGATGCTTCCCTGAAATGCAGATAAATTGCCTATTATGGAATCATTGTCTACCAATTCTGAGATGTAGTCAGAGAATAGCAATGCTGGTGCTAGGTCAAGAGCAAACCAGACAGTGAGGTATGAAGTGGCAGAGTCCTTGATCTGGGCCCCTGTTCTCTGGGCTCTAGGCTGTGAACGAGAACTTGCCCCTGGCTGACCTCAAGGCACAGAGTTGGCTGACAGGTGGGGCCACTGCAGAGTGGAGGAGGTCAAGGCAGGTCAAGGCAGGTCAAAGCAGGTCAAGGTCCCTGCATATAGATGCTTCCTTAGCGATGGAAGGTTGTTGTCTAAGGCTGGGGACTGGAGTGGGGGTGGGGGGGGGTAGGGAGGTGGGGTGGATAGAAAGATAGCTAAGGGTCCAGTGTGGAGAGGCCACTCAGTAGCATTTAATTTAGAGAGGGCTGGTCATAGCATAGTTCATTAAAAGAATGTCAGGCCTGACAAATCTGGTTGAATTCTCTGACTACATCTCAGAATTGGTAGACAATGGTTCCATAATAGGCAATTTATCTGCATTTCAGGGAGGCATCTGATCTGGTATGACAAAACTGATTGATTAGTAAAGGTCAATATGGCATGTTAGGGAAAGAAAATTAAACTGAGACTGAAGGAGTTTAAATCAAAGAAACCTATTTCACCTGAAAAGGGGGGCATGGTGGGGGGCTTCTTTTTAAAAATTGAGGTGGAGAATATAAAAAGAAGGGGTTGGGAGAAGTGGGTTCAGTTTTGGTCAAAAGACAATGGAACAAAATGTCCCACTTTTAAAGGAGAGAACCTTTGGTGACCAACCTCAAGAATGCAATTTTGTATATGGTTAGAACCACAAAGCTGATGTTGAGAATTAACTCCCACCTGAATCTAAGCTGCTAAATCCAGCAGCCTCATCAGGCCAGGTGCCAGCCAAGAGGATGTGGAGACCTGGCATCTGGACCAGCTCTGATGGGTGAGAAGGCAGCTGGTGGTGCTATCCTTAGAAAGCACAGGCTCAATGCCAGGTGGTAATGGCAGCTGGTCCCATCCCCGATCCTGACACGTGAGCAGGCCCCAAAGTGCTCCAATAGTTTTGCGTGTGCCAGCTGTATGACTGTAGACTTCAAATTGCCTTTACAAGCATCCTTGGGTGGAAAGTGGAAATCATATTGTCATTCTTGTGGCTCAAGGGAGAGTCCCACAGAGAGCTCCTTGGTGATGGGGATTTATCTTTTTTTTTTTAATTTTTCAATTATAGTTAACACACTATATTAGTTTCAGGTGTGCACTCTAATGATTAACATTATACAACTTCCAATAAATCTTGCACCCATCTGACACCATACATAGTTATTAGAATATTATTGACTATATTCCCCATGCTATACTTTGCATCCTCATGGCTATTCCGTAACAACAAATTTGTACTTCTTAATCCCTTCACATTTTTCACTCATTACCCCAAATCCCCTCCCATCTGGCAACTGTCAAATGATCTCTGTATATATGAGTTTGTTTCTGTTCTTTTTGTTTATTTAATTAGTTTTTTTAGATTCAATTGTTTAGAGGTATGCATTTATTGCCATTTTATTGTTCATATTTTTAACTTTTTTCTTCTTCTTAAAGAAGACACTTTAACATTTCATGTAATACTGGTTTGGTGGTGGTGAACTCTTTTAGTTTTTTCTTGACTGGGAAGTTCTTTATATGTTCTTTGATTATAAATGACTAGAGGCCAGTGTACGAAATTCATGCATGGGGAGGGGGGTGTCTCTCAGCCTGGCCTGCACCCTCCCACAATCCGGGACATTTTGGGGGATGTCCGACTTCCGGTTTAGGCTTGATCCCACTGCGGATAGGGCCTAAACCAGCAGTCGGACATCTCTTTCGCAATCCGGAACCACTGGCTCCTAACTTCTTGCCTGCCTACCTGATTGGCCTTAACCACTCGCCTGCCTGCCTGATCGCCCCTAGCTGCTAGCCTGCCTGTCTGATTGCTCCTAAAACTCAAGCTTCTTCTGTTTTATTTTTAATATTTATATTTCTTCTTTATTTTTTATTTTAAAATTCAAACTTCTGGAGAACATGAGGCATTTAATATTATTCCATCTTCCTTACAGAGATCAAAGCATGGTAAACACAGCAAACACTTAAAACGTACAGGCTTCTATACAAACACTTTCCAAACAGGAATGTTTTAATAGGCAGTTTCCAAAAACTTGACTGGAAAACCTAAAAGTAGAGTGCTCAGATTTCAAGGATCAGGTGCTATTAGCAGGATTTCAATCCCAATTAAACTCTAATTCTGAGCTCTCAACAGTCTGGACAAACTGTCGTTCACGATCTCCAAAGTTTCTTATTAGTCACTATCCCATTTTCCTCTGCTTCAAACCAAGGAAATAAATGAAACCTTTAATTCAGATCTTCCTCACCTCAAGGGAACAGCAAATCTCAATTGAAATAATTTCCTGCCAGAAGTCACATCCAAATACTGTGAGACTGAGGACTATAGGGCTGACTATGTACATGCACAATAATAGGCTCACATTCTAGCGGCAGGTGCCCAGGTGTCCTCCACAATCCCACAATCCTCTGGTCACATACTTCTGGTTTTTCTAGCTCCTTCTTAAGTGGTGTTTCCTTCAGTCCCATTGCAATGTCCAGGGCCTCTAGTTGGAGAGGATTTTTCTGTTCTTTGACGTTGATAGCTGTTTACTATTTGGAATCAGTGAAGTTTCAGGAGTATTGCCACTGCCATGAACATGTCGGTCCCAAGTGCACTCATGAAACAACCATTCAGTCCATGGCTGGCGCCATCCTGGTTCACAACGAGAAAGGTACTGTGCTCAGCCATTTTCCAATCAGATCTTCCTCTTCCTTCCCCAGAACACTCCAAACCTACTCCAGGCTGACCACCCCAACCCCACAGTCTCTTAAGACCTTCACCCCTATTTCTTCAACTTTCCCCTATCAAACTCACACCCTATTGCGTTGCTTAGGGGCACCCCTAACAGCTCCCTGGGGGGGGGGGGGCCAGCCTGGGCTAGGGGCCGTGGTGTTCTGGTCTCTGGTCGTTATGGTTGTTCCACCATTTTGGTCGCTGGGTTTTTAGTATATAGGATAGGATAGCTTTGCTGGATAAAATAATCTTGATTGTAAATCCTTGCTCTTCATAAATGAATATTTCTTGTCAACCTCTTCTAGCCTGCAAAGTTTCTGTATTGTTTTTTGTTTGTTTGTTTTTTGTTTTGTTTTTTCATTTAGAAATTGTTATTAGCACTAGGTGTTAAATTTACAGATGTTGTGGAATCAAAGTTGTCCATACACAGTGAGGCACTCATGGTGAATTCTGACTGATGTTAAAATGAGAGAGAGACACACTAACCAAGTGAGTAGTAAATAGAAAATTGTCTAATCCTCTTCGTCCCCTGAATCCTCATCTTCGGGTTTGGAGAGGAGTTTCATTACACGTTGTATAGGAGTGTTTACAGACTCATATTTCCATCCCTTCCTTAAAAACATCTTCTCAATCACACCTGGCATCTTGTAGCCCTTGCTTACAATGAAATCTTTGAAGGCAATTGGTCCATAAAGTTCATCAATAACGTCTGGTTCAAGATGCCTTCGATAGGTCCAATATTCCCTGTCATGGACGGCTTTAGGGTTAGGAAAAGGCTGGTCATTGACCAGCTTTTTCCAGCATTTGGGGTCTAGGTACCATGCTCCATACCTTATCTTCTCCCTTTTGGGTTTATAAGGGTCTTGTCGTTTGCGGAGTTTCCTTTCCCAGTCATCTTCCTGCAGGGAGAATTTTCTCTGCTTTATTTCATCTAGCTGTTTGCAGGGCCTTATAGTTGAAGGAAGCTGGTTTATTTTCTTTATTTTGACTGTATTATGGGTGAGTGGGCCCTCAAAGTCAATTTCAAACTTTTTCATGATGGACTCTTCATCAATGCCTATGTCTCCAAATTTATCATTGATCCATCTGCAGAATTCACGAATTGTTCTTCTTGCTTTTTGGAAAACAGGAACTTTGGGGATATCCGTTGTGCATGCTGCATTTGTGTCTTCCTTAGGAAACAAACTGAATAAATATGACAGGAGACTCTCCTTGGCCGTTTCCACGTGGGCTTGTTCTTCAGGTTCCTCCTCAGGAGGTTCCAGTTTCAACTTCCAGGGAGATTCCAGGTTGACTGCCTGGGGAGGTTCCAGGTTCAGTGCCTCAGGAGGTTCCAGGTTCACTGCCTGGGGAGGTTCCAGGTTGACCTCCTCAGGATGTTCTTCACACAGGTGTGTGGGGGCCTTCTTTCTTTCCTTGGTGCCCTCACAATAAGCCCACGTGTCCTCCAGCTCCCTGTCAGGATCTAGCACTTCCAGCACCTTGAGGAGGAGGTCTGGAGGGAGATCTTCCTCCAGATTCGGGCAGTCCGCCAAGGGATGCTGGGTCAGGCTGGCTTCAATGTCTCTACAAGGCTTCCGTGCTTGCTGGGCTAGTGAGAGCTTGGAACACAGGTCTGCTCCC